GTCCCAGCTAGTGTGGCTGGAATTGTCACATGCATTTTCTTATCGATTTGACCAGCTATAGCCAATAAACTAGCACAAATAAGGGCACAGGCTTTATTACAATCAAGAGTGTGGCATACCCCATCAGCAGCTAATGGGGGATGAGTTGTCCGCAATTCAGTAAGCAATATTCATACCTGATATGAAACATGGGGTGGGGGAAAGTGGCTGCTCTCTACAACGTAACTGGTCATACAAAAAAAAAAGGTCATACATACAAAAAAAATTAAGGAAAATGTGAATTAATTAACAACAGGAGATAGATAAAAAATGTATCCTTTTAAGTATAGCTAATTGTAATAAATCAAAGGGAAATGCCTATCAGTCTAGATAAGGGAGGGGTACATTCCAGAGACTCTGAAATCCTTTTTTTTTTTTGCCAATTAAGTCTTTCTGTACCAAAAAGAAGAGGAAAGAAGACACTGAAGGAAACCAGTTGCTGCAGCTGGTCTCCCAGTTCATTCCAACATCATATACAACAAAAGACTGATACACAACAAAATTGAGTGTTATGTTTTTCCAGAAATTTACTTTTAACAGTTCTTAGAATTTCTGATAAAATTCACTTGTGAATCCATTTGGTTCTGTTTTTTGTTTATTTCCTTTGGTATTTTGTTTATAGCTTATTCAGTTTCTTCTTCTGCGATTGGATTGTTCAAATTTTTTTCTTGTTCTGTTAATTTGTTTATTTTATATTTTGTAAATATTAATTTATGTTGTTTAAGTTGTCAGTTTTATTCACATGTAGTTGGGCAAAAATCTTTCTAATTGTATCTTATTTCCTGTTCATTTGTTGTGAATTTTTCAATATTTTTGATAGTTAACTTGGTTTTCTGGTTTTAAAAAATCAGATGAGCTAATTTTTCATTCATTTCAGTTGATCATTAATCATTCCCCATATGCCCTCAAGAAGATGGGTTTCAACAGTTGCTGAAGTCAAAAGTCTCCATTGTTCAGCAGCCAATGTTCTTAGGATGAGCTTCTCCAAGCTGAACTCAGCTGAGCTTAAAAGGACAGCCATGATGTGAGAGGACCAATATTTACAAGCATTTCCATGACATAGATTGCTTCCCTTTCACCCATGACATGGGGTAGACTCATACCCTTCCTCCTTGAAAAAAGATTGGCTTTTCCTAAAAGGAGAAAAATCCGTACCTTGGATTGGACGTTATACTAAGAGAATTTAAACATACTGATACCCATTCAAGCACTCTTAAGTTTCTATTTGCTCAATCTACTCAATTCCCTTAACCTCTTCCATTGCACCTCATAGAAATAGTTTTAGCATTGAGTTTATCACCCACAAATATTCCCTTCCATGTTCTTGAACTTCGAAGTCCTTTTATTTGATAATTATCCTTAACATTCTATCTTTCTTTTTCTCTTTTGACCTTACCACCTCAAAACTTCTTTTCTTTCCTGGGTTATCGCTCCTGTACTGATAACATTTTCCTCCCTTGCCCATCTAACACCTTGCTTAGCTATGTCAATTATATGCTCTCCTTTACATCCTTTGCCTCCTTGATATGTTGCTGGATCATATCTTGATACCACAATTGGATTCCTTCCACCAGCCCCTTTGTGCCTTTGTTCTAGATGAGCAGATTCCAGGATCACTGGTCTTTGTGTGTTCCCTGAGTGGCCTGCCTGGGAAGGTTGGCTGGAGGAACTTTCCTGAATCAAAAGTCTGTTGAGGAGATGCTGCTGCTGGAGGAATGATTGGATAGAAATGCCTGAGAAGAGCAGAATGATTGGGTTAAGGGGGGGGGGGAATTGAAGATATATATATGTATGTATGTACACACACACACACACACACACACACAAGGTTGAGTTCAATGTCTCCTTATCCATTTTCTATTATCTTATCCATTATCTCCTTCCTTCCGTACTGACTCCAAATATACTCTGATCTCTCCTGTCCTTAAAGATCCTTCACTTAATTAGCTCATCTCTTAAACTGTCACCCATACCCTCCCTTTCAGTCTCAAACTCTTAGAAAATCAATTGATCAATCAATAGATAAGTATTAATAAAAATATATACAAAGTAGTTACAATCTACACTCATTTCTCACTTTCCAGTCACTTGTAGTCTGGCTTCCACCTCTTTCTTGATAAATTCCAAATTGTTTCCCTAGTTCTCATCCTACTGAACAGATTTGTAAGTTTCTCAATGTTGAACACCCTGTCTACCCTGCATGATCTTCCTACTGCAACTTCCTTGAGAGGATTCCCTCCTGATTCTGCTCCTACCAGTCTGACATCTCACTTTTATTTGCTGGATCTTCATCTGTGTCCTAACCTCAAAGCATAATTTATCCCAGTGTTCTGTCCTAGGCCTTCTCTTACTTGTCTAACCTCTCTCCTGGTGACCTCCTTGGCTCACACAGGATTTTCTATCATCTCCATGTTGATGACTACTAGATCTATATATTCATCCAAAGTCTCTCCCTTGAGCCTCTCCTGTACTTCCAACTCCCTTTTCAACATTTCATATTGTAAGAATCTTAAACTCAACATGTCCAACTTTAAATGCACCTTCCTTCCCCCCAAACCCATCTCATTTCCTAACTTCCATATTTCCATAGAGGGTATCATCATCTTTTCAGTTTCCTAGGTTACCAATCTTGGTGTCTTCTTTAGCAACTCATGCTCACTTGCCCCACATCTCCTATTCCTTGTTAAGCCTAATTCATTCAATCTTCCCAGTATCTGGGAAGTATCTGATTTCCCCTTTTATTCTCTCAAACCACAACAATCCTAGTTTGGTTTCTACTCATTTATAAGCCAGACTACTGTAATAAGCCCCCTGGTTGATCCCTTGCATCCAGGCTCCTTTTTCAGATCTCTCTTCTATACAGCCTCCAAGTTGTTATTCCTAAAGAACAGTTCTGATCATATCGTTCTCGAGTAGGCTCTCTATTGCTAAAAGGATAAATAAACAAAATCACTTTTTGTTTTGACATTAGATTCATCATACACTTGCCCCTACCTATCTTTCCAGATTGATTTCACCTTACTACCCCCCCAAAATGGCCAAAATGCTTCTACCAAAATGGCCTCCTACCACATTTCCTCTGTTGCCTCTAAAACTTTACACAGGATGCCTCCCCACCCCCATGCCCACTTGGTCATGAGTCCAAATCTTCCAACGCTTGCTCCATTGAAAACTCAGCTCAAGGATCACTTTCTACAAGAAATCTTAACTAATGAGAAGTCACTATAATAGTGAAGAATAGGATTAGTGCAATAGCCATGAAAATGAAATAATGATGAAAATGAAATGATAAATGGTTATCATCAGAAAATTTTTTTTGAGGCCAGTGAGACTGGAAAATGCTAGATTTCACTCTCTCCAGGCAACACACAAGAAGAAAGTGTCAGAAAGCAAATTGAATTCAGTAATCATAACAATAAATGTATATTCTTGAATATATTCATTAAATGAATTACAAAATGAATCAAGGGAAAATATTATTACAGGAAAAGTATTCGAAGCACAAACACATAGCTAAACTAAGCTAAAGCATGACTAGTTTTTCTTTCTTCTATGAATCCTTTGATGTTGGGTAAGGTTTGTATTGTGTAACAAAGGCAAGCAAGAAGCATTTATTAAAGACTTACTATTTTTCAGGCTAAGTGCTAAAGAGTTGACAATACATATACACACAGAAAGACAGTCCTTCCCTTAAGGAGCTTACATTCTAATTGGGAAGACAACATGTACCAGGGAGTTGTAAAGTGGGATGATGGGGAGAGATGCAGATACCCATGTGAGGGTTTCTGGTATTTTAATCCAGAAGATCAGAAGAGGAGAATAAAGGTTGGCCATTCTGGTACCTTCACCAAAATAGATTCCTGGAGAGAAGCTTACCAACGGGAGAAGGGGGTCAGAGGTAAGAAGGACAGCGTTAGGGAGAAGGAGTGAGGAGGGATCTTTCAAGTTGAGGAAATTCCAGGTACTGAGGGAGTTTCTATGTTGAGACTAAAAGTGAGGCATGGTATTGAAATCCAGAAAGTCAAATGAAAAAATGGGAGGGGAATGTCTGGAGGAAGGCTTGGAAAACCTTAAGTTATTTGTTACATTTCTATGAATTCAATCTAGTATGAGATGACATCTTCCTCTTTGTACTGGCAAGCAGCCTCAGACCTCATGCAGAGTTGACTGGAATATCCAGTGGGAACTGGTGCCCAGTGGGATCTAAGTTTCCCTTTCCCATATAAATCTTCCTCCTACTTTTTGTCAATGGCCCTTCCCCTTTTCCATTTCTGACAAGACTCCAAATCCCAATCCCCTCCCAGAGAGAATCTATACTTCCTTTTCACTCAGACCCTGAGAACCATTCCCCCACCCCAAATTATGATAGGCAGCCCCTGTTGGACAGAAACCCAAATACTTGCTAAGGACTGATGGGCATTTCCATTGATCCTATACTTGAACCCTTAAGATTTTGTGTCCCCCCCCCCATTTTGCAGCTGATAGAATGCATATATGATTAGACTAAAAACTCCTTGAGGGTAGGGACTGACATCTTTTATTACTTGAAAACCAACAATTAGCCCTATGCCTGACACATAGTAAATTCTTAATAAATGCTTTTTCATTCTTTCATTTCTAATGTTATATGCTAGTTGATCTGCCACAGAAGGCTTTCCTAAACCAGTTACATTAAAAAGGCTATTCTCCAGTATGAATATTTTCATGTTTAATATCACAAGAAGGCCTTTCTGTGTTTTTTACAAGATGTTTCTCTCCAGAATGAGTCTTCTGATGTACAATGAGGTTTGAACTCCGACTAAAGGCTTTCCCACATTCATTACATTTATAAGGCTTCTCCCCAGTATGAATCATCTTATGCCTAATAAGCAGTGAACTCTGAATGAAAGCTTTCCCACATTCATCACATTTATAAGGTTTCTCTCCAGTATGAATTCTATGATGTTTAAAAAGGTCTGAGCTTTGAGTGAAGGCTTTCCCACATTCTTTACATTTATAAGGCTTCTCTCCAGTATGAATCTTCTGATGCACAATAAGGTTTGAACTCTGAATGAAGGATTTCCCACACTCATTACATTTATAAGACTTCTCTCCAGTATGAATTATCTGATGTATAATAAGAGTTGAGCTTTCACTGAAGCCTTTCCCACATTCAAAACATTTATAAGGCTTCTCTCCATTATGAACTCTCTGGTGCTTAAGAAGGGTTGAGTATTGAGTGAAGGCTTTCCCACACTCCTCACATCTATAAGGCTTCTCTCCAGTATGAATTCTCTGGTGCTTAACAAGAGTTGAATTTTGAGTGAAAGCTTTCCCACATTCATTACATTTGTAAGGCTTCTCTCCAATATGAGTCTTCTGATGTACAATAAGATTTGAGCTCTGACTGAAGGCTTTCCCACACTCATTACATTTATAAGGCTTCTCTCCAGTATGAATTCTCTGGTGCATAACAAGTGTTGAATTTTGAGTGAAGGCTTTCCCACATTCATTACATTTATAAGGCTTCTCTTTAGTATGAATCCTCTGATGTAAAATGAGAGTTGAGCTTTCCATGAAGGCTTTCCCACACTCATCACATTTATAAGGCTTCTCCCCAGTATGAATCTTCTGGTGTCGAATAATTCTTGACTTGCGAGTGAATGTTTTCCCACATTCTTTACATTTATAAAGCTTCTCAACATTATGGTCTCTGTAACGTTCAGAAAAGTTTGAACCTTGACTGAAGGCTTTCTCACATTCCCTATCTTTATTAGTGTTGTCTCCAGTTTGAATCTTCCTTTTTCTCAAATTCCTTTCATACTTTACCTCCTGACTCTTTTCCTGGCTCTCACTTTCCCCACAAGTAGACAAGCAATGATCAGCACTGCTGAGATTTTCAGATTTCCCTTCATGGGATGACCCTTTCCCAGGGATATTCTCTTTTGGAGCTACCTCTGTGGCTGTTCTTCTATGTTCCAAGTCTGAAAAACAGTAATATAAAATACAAATGTTACCAGTGCTCTGAACTTTGAGAAGGAAACTAGAGAGGAAGTAATACAACTGAAATTGGTTCCCAGAAAAAAGTAGTATATTGTGCAATCATTTTTGAAACCTCCTTTTTAATTTCTCGAGAAATATCAAGAAACAATATTTTCCCTAGTCTAACAATCCTTTTCAGACTTGTCCCTGTTTGAAAGTACATAGATGTAAACTGATTCAACTATTCTGGAAAGCAATTTGGAACTATGCCCAAAAGTCTATAAAACTATGCATACCCTTTGATTCAGCAATACCACTAACAGGTGTGTAGCCCAAAGAGATCAAAAAAAAAAGGAAAAGGACTTATATGTAAAAAAATATTTATAGTAAGCCTTTATGTGATGGCAAGGAATTGGAAATTGAGGGTATGCCCATCAACTGGGGAATGGCTGAACAAGTTGTGGTATATGATTCTCATGGAGGCCTATTGTGCTATAAGAAATAACAAGTGGGATGCTCTTAGAAAAACCTTGAAAGATTTACATGAACTGATGCAAAGTGAAGTGAACAGAACCAGGAGAACACTGTACACAGTAACAGCAAAATAATATGATGATCAACTGGGAAGGATTTAGCTATTCTCAGCAACACAATGATCCAAGCAATTCCAAAGGACTTGATGATGAAAAATGTTATTCACCTCTGGAGAAAAAACTGATAGAGTCTGAATGCAGATTAAAGCATACTTTTAAAAAAAACTTTATTTTTCTTGTGGGTTTTCTTTTGGTTTGTGTATTTTTTCATAACATGACTAATATGGAAATATGTTTTCCATGACTGAAAATGTGTAACCTATATCAAATTGCTTGCCTCTTCTGTGAGGGGGTAGGAGAGGGAGGAAAGAAAAAAAACTTGGAACTCAAAATTTTTAAAAACAAATGTTAAAAATTGCTTTTTTATGTAACTGGGAAAAATAAAATGTTAAAGAAATAAATATAAAGAAATCATTAAAAAAAAAAAGAAAGTACATAGATGGCCAAGACCAAGTAGTCTTTTCTTAACAAAATAAGAAAAAGGTAAAAAATAAATCCTTAAACAAAGGTTACCTTCCCCCCACCCTCGGCCCCACTTGATAGTATTTTTCCTATTACATAGAAAGATAGTTTTCATCATTCACTTTTATAAGATTTTGAGTTCCAACAAAGGTTACCTTTTAAAAATCATTGTATTCCCCACACTCTGAATGGACTGGGCTACTGCCCACCTAGAAGCACTGCCCTTGTCTCCATTTAAAAGAAATTAAGATTTTGATCAGGGAGAGCGGGTCCTTGTGGTTCCTGAACACTTACGTGTGCAGAACACTTGGTCCCTTCAAAACTGGACTCAGCCAAGCTTCCAGGATAACGTTGTCCACTCTGGCCCCCTCATGGTATCAGTGTGCTCCTAGCACTATACCTGCACCTCTTCTTTCTGGTGAGTTCCTACTCAGAAACTCCATTTGAGGAAGCGTCTGCACCCGCCATGGTCACCTCAACTCTGGTCTACCTCATTATCCCCACTCTACTTCTCCACCTTGCTCCCATTTGTGTACTTCCTTCCCCTTCCTACTTTTCAGCCTGTTTTTTACATGGTGACTTTCTTCATTAGAACTTTGAGGGCCAGGAATGTCTCTCTCTCTCTTTTTTTATTTCTAGTTGTATTCCCATTCATGACACATCATAAACACTTAATAAATAATCTGTGTATCTCTCTATCAAGGGAAGAACTGATTAATAACTACTCTTTTGGAATTTTAACCCCAAAGTGTATTTTAGCATATTATAATATTTTTCATATTCAAGTTTTCTATAAATGTTGCTCCAAATACTTGTAGGTAGAAGGACATGTCTGAGGGTATGGAGGTGGGGGTAGCATAGACCATGTCAATTTGTACAGATCACTCTCAGATAAAAATTGCTTTGATTTTGAACAATATTAGATTTTAAAATTATTTGTGACAGACTTGTGCCTAAAATACAGAGAACAGTATATATATGTGTATATATACATATGTACATACATATGTACACATGTGTACACATTATATACATGTGTTATGTGTGTGTGGGTATATATTAAAATAAGAGCTCTTAGTCTACTTTCAGTCTGTCAATAACCATTTGTTCAGTACCTACTATGTGCCAGGTATGCCAAGTACTAGGTATAAAAAGAGGCAAAAGACAGTTCTTGCACAGTTTAATGGGAGAGACAAGAAGTGAACAAATATGTACCAACAAGCTACATACAGGACAACTTTGAAATCATTGCTAGAGGAAAGGCACTAGATTTAAGAGGGGTTGGGAAAGGCTTCCTATAGAAGTTGGGATTTCAGTAAGGATTTTCAAAAAGTGGAGGAAACCAGTAGGTAGAGATGAGGAGACAGAGTATTCCAGGTATGGTGGTCAGGGAGAAAAAATGCAAGAGGCAAAGTGATGGGTCATTATGTTTGTGGCACAGCAAGGAGGCCATTGTCACTGGATTAAGAGTATATGGTGAGAATAAGGTATAAAAATATCAGAAAGTTAGGAAGGGCCTGGCTTTGCATCCTAAATGGAGGATTTTATATTTGATTCTTGGGAAGTGTGACTCATTGGTCCTAGTTAATTGTAATAAAAATATCTGACATCTTTATAGGGCTTTCAGTTTTGCCAAGTGTTTTCCATGATATGATCATGGTAACTACACACTGATGAAGGTACTATGGAGAAAGAGATCCCTATTTAACAGATGAGGAATAGTTACCCAGTGTAACAGGTAAATCAACAATAGATAACACCTATATGGCACTTTCGCTTTCCTCCTAGCAAAATTGGGGTAGGGGGATTATTATTATCCAGGCCAGTTTATTTGAACTTGATTTTTCCCCCTCCAGCTTGTAAGTATCCTCCCTACCCCAGCCCCACAATAAATTTCTGGATATCCAAGTGAGAAAGAGACAGAAGTGTGGAAGTAGGATCCTAAGGGAAACAGTATAGGACGTTTATCACAACCATTCTGTCTTAGGGGCTCCCAGAGCTTTTGCTTTTGCTTTTGCAGAATAGACATCCCAGTGACTTTCATGCTAAATGATAGAGCATGGTATTGGCTCAACAAAGTGATTAACAAATTTTTCTAGTGGGCCAGTTACATAGTGGGGCACCCAGGGGATGGAGTGAGGAGAAAAAAGAGTGAGAGAAAAGTGAGGAGGAGCTGGGACAGAACATGAGAGGCATTCATGATAAATGGTCATAATATGAATGAAGATTAAAGAAAAAGTGATTAAAGGAAGGGAAGGGAAGGAAGAACAAGTATTTATTAAGAATGCACTATGTGCCAAGGACTAGAATAAGTAATTATCTTATTTGATACAACAATGCTGAGAGGTAAACCCTCTTATGATCCTCATTTACAGTTGAAGAAATTGAGGCATGGTGTTCAGGTGACTTGCCCATGATCGCTTAGTTACAACTAGTAAAATCTGAAGTCAGATTTGAACTCAAGTCTTCCTGACTCCATGCCTAGCATTCTATTCATGGTTACTTTTCAAGAGCGGTGAACCAGGTCAGAGGAAAATCAAGAGAGAGTGGTGTCATAAAATTCCCAAGAGGAGAAATGAAATCCACTGCCAAATCCTACAGAGAGGTCAAGAATGAGAGATGAGAAAAATATCACTAGATTTGCCAATTATGAGATCATTGGTAACTTTGAAGGGTATAGTTTCACTTGAGGAGAACTCAAAGAAGAGGGGAGAGGGTTCAGAAAACCCACTTCATCCCAGCAATGGAGATTTGGAAGGGATCCAAGCCACCTTCAAGCACGAGTAGGACCAGAAATGAAGAACTTTTTTTTTTTTTGCCTATTCCTGGAATTTTCTGACTCCTCACCCTGATTTCCCTCAACTGTCAGCTAAAGTCCTACCTTTTCTAAGAAGCCTTTCCCAGTCTCTTTTAACCTTATTGTCTTCCCTCTCAAACTTCATTTATCCTATTTATTTCTTGTCTATAGATAATTGTTTGCATATTATCTCTTATTAAACTGTGAACTCATTAACAAGAAGGACTATTTGGTTATTTTTTATTTTTATTTTTTGTTTTTAGGTTTTTCTTTGTATACTCCATGTTTATCACAATGCCTACATAGTAGATATTCACTAAATGCTAGTTAACTAGCATTTATTAAGATGGTACAGCAAGAAGAGTATGTACAAAACATTTCCCTGATAAAACTTGAGCACATTTTCCTATAAATACATCTAGCCTGAGTGGGAACATATATGTTATTCTACTGATGAGTCTCAGATATAGAGAGAACACATGGAGTAAGAAACTAATACCTTCAACCCTGTTGTGTCTCTGTATGCTTCCCTTTATTCTGTGTCCTGAGGCTCCTCTTTCCTTAGTGCAATGCCTCTATTGTATACTTTGCTCATCTAGGGTCATTGAGCCTGATCGTCTGTCAAGTACCACTTCCAGTCACCAGGGATAATTCTCTCCTGGGTTCATAATTGGCTCTGTGCTCTCTTTCATTTTAAATTGAGAAATTAGCTCTATTGCAAAGCTTCCTGGCCAACAGGGATATGGGAAGTGTGAGGAAAAACTCCTCCCCTCCTCCCCTTGAGTGTTGTGGTATTAACACAAGAAAAAAGCAAAGACTGACCGCATCTCAACAATTTCTTCATTCATATTTATCTTTCTTCTATGCTGCTATTGTCTATATTCCACAGAACTCTCCTGCTTTGACTGTGTCCCAGACCTGGCAAGCTTAATTTTTTTTTTAAACAGGCTACCAGATGCATGAATGATCTTCAGCCCAGCAATGGAAAAGTGCCTGATAATTCTATTAAAGTTAACTTCTTCACATTTGGTAAAGGGGTAACAAAGTGAAAAAAGGGATTTCTTACTACACAATGTCTCTGTTAGTTATGCCTTTTTTAATTTTATCAGCTAAACTTGGGTGGGAAGGAATGCTTTCCTGAACTTCATCCTTGTTTCCAGAAACTCATCTTCTTGCAAGATAACATCCAAACTGAAATTCATGCCTCCTCAGTACTCCCATCACCCACTTGAATAGAGGAGAGATTAATGAAGCTTTTATTAGAAAAACAACTGATCTGGAAAACAGATCCAGGAGAGATAATTCAAAAATTATTGGATTTCTTGAAATCCATGCTCAAAAAAAGACATCATCTTTCAAGAAATTATTAAGAAAAACTGCCCTGATATTCTAGAACCAGAGGGTAAAATAGAAATTGAAAGAATCCACCAATCACCTCCTGAAGATCCCACAGTAACAGCAATTTTGTAAGATGATCAACTGTGAATGACTTAGCTATTCTGAGCAATACAATGATTCAAGACAACTCTGAAGACTTCTGAAAAATGTTATTCATCCAAAGAGAAAGAACTGATGGAATCTGAGTGCAGATGGAAGCATACTTTTTTACTTTATGTATTTTTCTTGGGTTTTTATTTTGCTCTATGTTTCCTTTTACAACATGACTAATATGGGAATATGCTTTGCATGATTACATGTGTATAACCTATATCAAATTGCCTTCTCAATGAGGGGAGTGGGAAGGGTTGGAGAGAATTTTAAAAATGAATGTTGAAAATTGTTTTTGCATGCAATCGGGAAAAATAAAATATTAAATTAAAAATATAAAAAATAAAAAAGATTATATTTATAACAGAAAGAATTTGGTATAATAGTTATCATGAGTTTGCTTTGGATGCTATAAGAAGGATGGATTTGTGAAGAGACAGCCTGAAAGACCAAAGAGAGGCTACTGTAATAGTCCAGGTGAGAAGCGATGAGATGCTAAACTAGAGCTGTCTTGTCAGAAGAGATAAGAGAACGTATATGAAAAACTCTAAGGAAGGACAGTGGATAAGACTTGGCAATTGGTTGGATATGGTGAACGAAGGAGAGGGAACAGTAGAGAAACATACCAATACTGGGCACCTGTGTTCCTGGAAGAATGGGGGAGCCCTGACCAGAAGTAGAAAAGTTGGTACAAGGGGGAAAGGCAAAGTTTAGGGAGGAATATAATGGATATGTTAAGTTTGAGATCCTTAAAGTATGAAAAGTACAAATGATATTGGAGTTATTGGACTAGAGCAAAGGAGAGATAGAAGGATCGATCATCTAGAACTGGGAGTCATCTACATAGAAATGATAGAAGGATCTGTGTGAGGGGAATTTTTCAGGAGAAAGAAGATGGCAAACAAAAAGAGAAGACCTAGGATGGAACTCTGGGAGACAGCCAGACACAAAGGTCAAGATATTACATGCTGATTTTTTAAAAATGAGAGTCTGTCTATAAAAACAAAGAGGGACATTTAGTGACATTCGCTCACCCTCCTTTGTACCTGCTGCCTGGTCTGTTTTCAGTTCCATGAAGCAAGATGTTCCCATGCCAGGCACCCTCTGGTGTCTCTCTCCCTTCTCCTGCTTTCCTGCCTCCTTTCATGTGCTGTATCCCCTGCTCCCCACTTTAGATTGTGAGCTCCTTGAGAGCAGAGACTGTCATTCTTTTATTAATTGTACTCCCAATGCTTAGAACAGTGCCTGGCACATAGTAGGCACCTAATGTTTTTGGACTGGATAGCTTATTGAAAGGCGGAGGAGTAAAATGTAAGGATCTGGGATAATGTATGAGATCAGGGAGCATTTGAAGGCAACCTGGAAGTCAAAGTATAAGGAGGAATTGAGTCAAAGCTTTGAGACATCTGTAACCCCTTTCCTGCATCACAATTCTGCTATATTCTTCTTAAACATTTCAATCCAGTATTTCCCTATGATTTGCCTCCTTGTAGATCTCTAAAAGTTCATCTACATTTCTCAGGAAGGGCCCTTAGGAAATCCCACCTAATTCCAGGGATTCAGGGATCTGCTCCTCCCTCTGACCTCCAGCACCTGCCTCTTGTAGCCACAGAGGGATAAAACTAGTAGTGTGTTTGAGATAGCTCAAAATGGCTGGAGAGAGAGCTGATTGTTAAATTTTCATTGTGAGCCCTTAGAAATTACAAATCAGGGCTTGATTTACTGATGGATAAATGTTAATAATGCAGATTAAGCTTAAAAGTATCATGGGTCTGTTTTTGGGAGTGGTGGTGCAGGGGCAGAGCTGGTTATTAAATATTTACCAGCAGATCTCAGGACAAAGTTATTGCCTCCCAATAATGGTTATGGAAAAGACTGGACACTTCTAGAACTTAACACTGCCTGAAGTTCTGGATCAAAGAGGAAAGCAGGTAGGAGAGGAAAGGGTGGAGGAGAATCTAACTTCATCATCTCCCATGCCTCAGAGCCTATAGAGATCCTCAAGTTCCCCAAAGAGGCAAACAGTATTTTGAGGATGTGGGAGCTTCACCATCAATGAAAGTAAGTGGGAGCAAAAGGGATGCTGAAAAATCGTGGAATTCCTATCTCATGGAGAATACTTTATCAAGGACTACTGCAGGCCTAAATAATGAGGGCCCCTAAGAATTCCCACCTTGTTCAGAACTTAATTTGGAATGTGCTACCTCTCCTATGCTCTCTAGTGTTTTTCATAGGAATGGGTGCTGTATTTTGTCAAAAGCTTTTTCTGCATCTATTGAGATAATCATATGATTTCTGTTAATTTTGTTATTGATATGATGAATTATGCTGATTGTTTTCCTAATATTGAACCAGCCCTGCATTCCTGGTATAAATCCCACTTGGTTATAGTGTATTATCCTCGTGATAAATTGCTGTAATCTCTTGGCTAATATTTTATTTAAAATTTTTGCATCAATATTCACTAGGGAAATTGGTCTATAATTTTCTTTCTCTGTTTTGGCTCTTCCTGGTTTAAGTATCAGCACCATATTTGTATCATAAAAAGAATTTGGTAGGACTCCTTCTTTGACTATTTTCCCAAATGGTTTATATAACATTGGAATTAATTGTTCTTTAAATGTTTGGTAGAATTTGAATGTGATACACCTTGACAGAGACATGGACAGTTTCAGGTGAGCCTTCTCGGCCTCTTTTGAGCACATGACTATACCAAGAAGGTGGCAAGAGGGGAAGCAGGTTTTTTTTTTCTTTTCCAGGAGGATACTAGCTGCTCTTTAAACACAGCTAATGGTCTTATGCCCATGGCAGAAAGAGGAATATCTGACCTGGACAGAACCACAGAGGAATCCAGTGCAACCTATCCCTGCCCAAGAATGTTCTCTCCAATACCACCCCTGACACAGTCCTCCAATGACATCCTCATCCAGACTTTGTTTAAAGACCTCCAATGGCATAGTGGATAGAACACAGGCCCTGGAGTCAGGATAGACCTGAGTTCAAATCTGATCTCAGATATTTTTTAGTTATATGACCCTGGGTAAGTCACTTAACCTCAATTACCTCACCCCTCTGAAAAAAATTAAGACCTCCAATGAATGAGAGTCTCTTTCTCTTTAGGCTGCCTTTCTGCCCTTTGGTACAGCTGTAATTATGAGGAAATTTTCCTACAATGGAGGTGAAAGCTGCCCCATACTACTATTTCTAACCGTAAATCACCACGTCCATAGCTTATGTTATATGTTCCACATGCTCTTGCAATAATTAGTCTGCAGGACAATAGAAAGGCTTTTGGGTTCTGTTGGGTTTTAGGGAATTTCTTTTAGGTGAAAAGTTCAGAGTAAAGACACATTCCCTCTGAACTCCCAATTACAAAAAAAATCCCAATGTTTTGGCAAAGGTTGGGCCCTCTGCCTACCCTTATATTTGCATTATTCTCTAATTAACCTCTGACTTCTTTGTGACGAGGCAAGATATATTTTACTAGAGACATTTACATAACAAAACATCCAAATATATTATCATGTATGTGGATAGAGAGGGCAGCTAGGTGGCGCAGTGGATAGAGCACCGGCCCTGAAGTCAGGAGGACCTGAGTTCAAATCCAGCCTCAGACCAAACACTTGACACATACTAGCTGTGTGACCTTGGGCAAGTCACTTAACCCCAATTGCCTCACTAAAAAAAAAAAAAAAAAAAAGAGCACCAGGCCTGGAGGTGGGGAGACATGAATTCAAATCCAGCCTCAGACACTTACAAGCTGTGTGACCCTGGGCAAATCACTTAACCCTATTTTCCTCAGTTTCCTCATCTGCAAAATGAGCTGGAGAAGGAAATGGCAAACCACTGTAGTATCTTTGCCAAGAAAACCCTAAATGGGATCATGAAGAGTCAGACACGACTGGAAAATGTTTGAACAACGACAAACAACATGACATAGAAAAATAACTTGAAAAATTGATGCATCCATGCAATGAAAAACCAGGAATCCAAAGGATTAAAGGAGATTCACATTATTTACCTCCTGACAGAGACACAATGAACTTAAAATGCAAAGAGAACACAAGGAATGCATTCATTCTGGTCTGTGCAGGTTTGTGATGATAACTTGGTTTTCACTTTGGGAAGGGTTTGGGTTTTCTCTTTTCTTTTCTTTTTTGTTTTGTATTGTTCAATGAGGGAGGGGATAATAAATGGGGCAGATTTTATTTCAGTGACAGAATAAGAAGAAAATTATTTATAAAAATAAATTTATTTTATAAATATTTAAATTATATTAAATTTATATTTAAATTTAAATTATATAAAATTGTACTTATATTTTATAAATTTTACATTA